ATATTAGGTCTGAAAACATTCTGAGAAAGAGAAGAGTAATTCTGTGTTCAGACACACAAGCAAAAGTTAAAACAAGACAGTTACTAACAAGGAAAATCAAAAGTTGCACAAAAAAGGAAATGTAACCACTGTTAGGTAGTATAACATGATTAATATTTCCATTAATAATAGAAATTTCCATTTTTATACTGTTCATCAGAAATTGTTATATAACTGTTGAAAGAAAAGGAGGACTGAGAGGTTGTTTGTAAGAGAGCTATGTCCTTAATTACCAGGACACAAAGGGAATATATTATGTTTAAATTTGATCAATAAAGAAAAATTTAGTATTATTTAGAAATTTGGATATATCAACTAGAAGGCATTCAAAATGGTTGCTTTTTTGGATTATAATTAGATTGGTGGGGGCCAGGCTACAAGGAGAGTCTTCATTTCACTATATGCCCTATAATATTATGTTTTTCTGAAGTATAGAATAGTATCTGTGGTTAAAACATTATTAAAAGAGAAGGAAAAGGACTAAGAATGCCAACTAATCTAAGTAATTCAACATTATATAGTTCATATATGTAGTTCATATATATATAGTTCACATATATATATATAGTTCTAGAATCAGAGAAAATTGTTGCTTAATAGTAGAAATAAAAATATTTAACAAGGAACTATTCAGGATATATTTTTCAATAAAATAAGATTGTAAAACACAGTGTATAAAATGACTTAATTTCATAAAAATTAACTTTTGTGCATAGAAGACAAGATGAAACAGAAGTTAACAGTCATTGAGGATTATCAGTAGGGAAGTTGAATAATTACACATAGGAAGAGAAATCCTGCTTGATATCAAGTACTGTGTGCTATCCCAGGTTAGTGATAGTGCAGGCTAGAAATAGAATATTGGTTGTGAAACTGAAAAGGGATAAAACTGAAAGACATTGAAGTACCTAGAATTTAGCTGTTATTTGGAAGAAAAGGGATAGGAGGCCACAGTGGCTGCATTGCTGTGAGTCAATATTGTTAGAGCAGTGGTAATGCTAGCCTGAAAGGGCATTCAGAGCAAGGAGGAACTTTTGTGGAAGAAGATATTTTTGAATACCTTGAATGTCAGATTTGATTTTAGGGGAATATCCATGAGGTGATACTTAAAAGACAGTAAGAAATATAGATTTGAAGTAGAGCTATTTTGATTATGTGGAAGGGAGTCCTGGAATTGTAGAAGCGAGGTGTAAAGGACCAGTACTAGTTTACAAACATGAGGATTACTCCGCATGATGTGATGCTTCATAGAAGTAAAGAGTAAATCTAGAAAACAAAAGGGGTAGAATGCTGTACGGAGAACAAAATCTGTAGGAATGTATTTACTTGCAAGGTGGGAAGAGGCTGTGAGGTGATTGAGAGCGAGCACAGAATCTGTTCCCAGAAACTGAAACAGGAAGTTGAAGACACAAGACAGTTTGGTGATGACAAAGAGCTTAGGAAGATTTAAGATTGCTAAATTCCACTGGATTTAGTGATTCAGAGGCTAGTGACTTTTCAATTATATATCAAAAAATATCAGAATGATGGTGTTTCTGTTGGTGAGACTACGTAATAATTATTGTATAAATAAAAGTAACAATATTAGTCCTCATCTATCAATATATATGTTATACATGTTAAATTATAATATATATATTTACTTATAAATCATAAACTTAATTGACAGGTAAGCATCATTATATGGAGTAAATTTAGTCTGCCCAAAAAGTGTATACATACTTCAGGAAAAGAAAAACTTGTATAAACATTTTAATACTAAATTTATTGAGACTGAATTTTATGAGATTAATACAAATTACTTTTGGCCTCTACAATTACAAGAGGCACTCAAAGTGGGGGCCATGAGCATCCAGGCATTTATCCGTACAGCAAACTGCCACTCGGGTAACCTTGGTCATTGAGATTGCTGCACATGAATTTTCAATTTCTTCTCTAAGGGCCAGCAGTATAGTGGGTTTTCTGTGATATATGACATCCTCTAGGGTCCCCCGTAACAGGGTAATACCATCTGTTGATTTTTTTTGGGGGGGGGTACCAGAGATCGAGCTCAGGACCTTACGCTTGTGAGGCAGGTGACAATACCATCTGTTGAAAAAACATACTATTTTTCTTTTCCTGAAGTGTTGTATACATTTTTTTTGGCAGACTCCTTAGAAACAATATCTTCATGGACTTGATTTTTAAGAAATAATATCAAGGAAATGGTTTCATGGGGATAATTGAGTCATTGGATTTGGCAAAACTTGATTGTTAATTTTTGAAAAAAATTCTCCAAATAGTAGTCAATGGCAGAATGTGGACTTGGAAGGAAAACAGATGGCAGTTTTCAAAAGTCTTGATGCACTGCCTCTAGCACTCCACCAATCTGCAGCCAAATATTCTGACAAACTATTTTTCCTTCATTTATTTATTTGCTTTGTAGAATCTACCACAATCTATGATGTGTCACCTGTACATTTATTAAGTACCCATCTTTCTCACAAGGCTGTCAGTTGCATTAAGAATAGTCATCCCGAAAATTTGCTCTCCAGAATCCTGTTTGGGTTGTTGAAGTAAAATGGGTTGTTGGGTTGGGTTGAAGTAAAATGAAGGTGAAGAGGTGGGAAACTCAAAGTTATACTTTTAAAACAATTATTCAAATCCCTCCATGTTGGATTCACTGAGAACAAGGATAGGATGAAGAGGAAGGAGTGAAGTTTTAAAATAAATCAATGACACAATGGGAGAAGCAGAAATAAAACAGATGAGGTGGACTTCAAAACTGAGGGTAGTAGGGCCGGGGAGTTAGCTCAGTGGTTCTGGCACCTGCCTCACAAGCTCAAGGTCCCAAGTTCATTCCCCAGTACCAAACAAAACAAAACAAAACAAAAAAAACCACTAAGGATAGTTAGTTAAAAAATGACTTGAATATAGTAAAATGTGTATTGTCTTGTCCTCCTGATCAAGTGAGTTGGAACTTTATAGAAGGTGGGGAGTCAAAGGAGTAGAGTGGAACTATGTTTCAGTTAAGTGAAGGGGGAATAAAGGGTGCTTATAGTAATAAAAGGAACAGCGGTGGCAGGCTTTTTAGACAAGTGCCCAAACTGCAGCCCAAAACCCACTTATTTTATTGCCAAATGCCAACACCGCAATTAAAACTGAATAAACAACTTCTGCATTAACACCTTTTCTCTTAAAAGAAAAACAACATGTGTGCTGTAGGTTTACCTCCACTGGTATAGGAGAACATATTCACAGTGTAACAGAGGCATTGTAAGACACAATGTGACAGGACTAACCCTAAGGAAGACGGGGAGATGACTGAACTATTTTATAGTAGAATACTATCTACAGTGTAAGTGCTGAAGAAGTATTAATTGGCTAATAGACTTATTCATTGTAAATTTATCATTATCTCTAGAAAATAATAATGCTAGAAGCAAACAGACTTTTTGTACTGTAGCTCCATGACTTGGAATATAATTACATGTAAATAAAATTATATTATTTGCACTGTTTAGGAAAAGAGATTTTTCTTATTTTTTTTAATATTCTCACATAGTGATGTAAGTTCTGCACAATATTCACAGCTATTTCCCAGAAATTTTTGGTACTGAAAAATAGTTGTCTTGCCTTTTTTTAATAAATGACTAGTCATATTTTCAAAAGCTTTTAAGATATTTACAAAAATGTGACTGTGAAATAACTGATTTTAATTTATGTATAGCTCAGATACAACCTAAGGGTTTATTTTTAAATCAGTACAGAGAAACTTTTAGGGAGACTTGAATACTTTTCCTTGTTACAGTCTTTTAGTTTCTCTTGTGACCAGTGTCATCATCTGAGTTTGTAAGGTGGCTAGAGTTAAGGATGCTATCTTCAGTCATGAAAAAGAGTTGTCTGTCCTCTGGGCAAAACTAAATGAGTCCACTGGGAGTCAAATGAGAGACACTGGCCTGATTTACATTGTGCTTTTTGACTGAGGGCTCTGGCAGAGGACCACTTGGTGTTTTCTGTTGCTCTGTATCCATTTAAAATCAAGAATTAAAAATGCTCAGTGAAGTCCTTATGAATAATCAAACATTGAAATATGCCTATTTAAATTAAGGGGTTTTTTTCTTCTTTTCAATCAATTTTTAAAGTTTCTACAGGACTGTCACAGTACCTATTTTAATAGATCTGAGATAATGGATGCATGGCTAGTAGGGAAAAATTCATTTCCTGAATGTGAGTTGTTTTGGAAAATATCAGTGTCATTGTAACTAAACACATTAGGGTTTAATAACCCTGATTCAGAGCAACGAGTAATAGGCTGATTCTTCATGTTATAAAAGTAGTGTTGATGGGGGGGAATATATTGTCTGCTTTAAAGTTTTGCATGTGTGAACAGTTATTACCATGGCAGAAAGAAAAAAGTGCTCTACTTTTATTTGTACCATTTTCTCACCACTTGAATTCTTTTTACTCTTCTTGGTACCCATGAATAATCTCTTTATATTTAGACAATGACATTTGAAGTTGTTGCACTTTAGCTTTAATTCAGAAAAATTCCTTGCCTTACCAAAAAACAGAACCAAAATTTTTTTTAAAAAACCACAACTCATCATGTATCTAGGATGCTCCTGATTAGCCTTTTGAATGAGTCAGAGCTGACATAATTGAGTAAGAGTAAGCATGTTAAGAGTCAGATAACTTAAAAATTGATCATCAGCCCCTCAAGTTCAGGAATACAGTCAGAGCATGAGTTTGATTGAGTATTTCCCCTATCATCTGAGGTATGATCTGCCTGTTTTCTTGCTGTCTTTTACTCTTCCTCGATATTTCTTATCTTTGCTTGCCTAAACTGGAATGTAGAAGAGGAAGAGATTTAAATCTGAAAAGCATAAAATGCTTCCTTCAACCTATCAAAAAGCTACCTGTTAATTTTGTTGGGATGTGGATGAGACCAACAGCATCCTAACCTTGTGTTCTCTTCACAGTGGGTAAACCTCACAAGTGCAACTACTGTGGACGGAGCTACAAGCAGCGCAGTTCACTGGAGGAGCACAAGGAACGCTGCCACAACTATCTCCAGAATGTCAGCATGGAGGCTGCTGGGCAGGTCTTGAGTCACCATGGTGGGTAGAAGCAGCATTTGCGATTTTAATTCCCTCCTGTACTGCTTTTGTAGTTTTTATGGGCTAATAGTTCCCTTCCCCTTTTTAAATGAAGATAAAAATCTTGGTTTCAAACACTTTTAGATCACTTTAACTTCACATGACATTATCTTCTTAAGCACTTAAAATGAGTTGAGTTTTGGGAAACATTGCAAACAAACTATATTGAGTTTTTATGATACAAATTATTCCTGACAACATGTGCCTGAATTGACATAATAATGGCAGCTGGCCATTAATATGCCAAAGGAAGGTAACGTTGACTCTTGTATTTCTCTAACTACATGTTATAGACAGTTCCATGTAAGTTTGTAGGTTTCCTTAAGAAATGAATTGGTTATTTGCATTATTTCTTCTGTGTAAGTGTTTAGTAATATACTTTGAAATTTTTCCAATCTATTCCATAAATTATCTGGAAAATTTATAGTTTTGCTTTCCATACATATTAGGAATAATCTAGACTAAAATTAGATACCATCTCCCTACATAAAAACACTCACAAAGGAAGACATCCTGATCTCCACAATACTCTATACTTTGGCAGCCAGGAAGGTAGCTCCCAAGGTTTATCAGCTATAATAATTCTCAATTCCTGAAAAGTTGACTGTAGTGTCAGCGTTACAAAGCAAAGTAATGAATTTCAGTACTTCCCATTTGTAGTGTCTATCTTCTCTTGCTAATTTCTATCAGGACTGACTTTATTTTTCATCCAAATACACACAAAATTTTAACTTATTAACATATTTATATTCCTCATGTAAACACAGTTTGGCCAATATTAAATTATATAGTTCACTCATTTTTAAAATATAAATATTCATTTATTGAATTATTTAGCTCAGGACATATCCAGCTCAAGAATAATCATGTATGCTTTTGTTTTATGTGGTACATACCATGGAACTGTTTACCAGTTACTGATTATTTGTAGTTGAGTTGGGAATTTTTAAAATTTTAAATGTTTACCGTTATCCTAAATAGGCATTTTCTTATATTTAGAATAGGTTATACTCCACGCATTTTTTGACTGAGTCCACTAATTTTTACATTATTATTAACTAACAGTTTGTATAAAGCTGTATTTCAACTCTTAGTAAATTTGATATAAAAGTTCATATGACCTGGGCATATGAAGGTATAAAATGATGGGCTTTGGAGTCCAGTAAACCTGGTCTGGCTGTATTGTGTCTAAGTGTGTAGTTCAGGAGAATTAAATGTGGTTGGACATATAAAAAATATCTCCAAAATAGGTCTTTTTACTGTTCTATTTCAGGGAATTAAATACTAAGAAACAATAAATGTGCCATCCCCTGTAGAGTTGTAACTTATCAGTGTTAGCATTGGAGGTTTCATTTGCCTACTTAGAATACTGTTTCCGTCAATTACTGGTTTTAAGGGTGGCTTGAGGTAGGGAGCTGAAGAAGGCTTAGGTGCATATGAAAGCTTCCCAGAGACAATTTGTATCATCACTATGCATTTTTCCATGCAGTGTTTCCCATTGCTATCCTGACATTTGATTGGAATACACATATATATATTATGTTATTTTTCAACTTAGTTATTTATGGAATTCTACATAGCATATGTACCTGAAGAAGAAAGAGTCTCTCCTAAAGGACTTTATATTGTCAAGGGGAGGCAGGTACAAATAAATCATTAGAATGAACACTATGTCTTGGCAAATTGACTTGTCGTAGAGTTAGTATTGACAAAAAAACAACAACAAAAAGTGTTTTGGGGGGAAAGAAAAAGACTTGTATCTTAAATAGGTGGGGCTTCAGTCCCCTCACCCCCTTTTTCTCAGGTTGTGTAGCCCTTACCAGGCATCTGCCCTTTACCTGTGGTGCTGAAGCCGGAACAGAGTCCGGCAGGCGGGACAGGAACACTGGAGGGAGCACTGAGTGCAGCCCGGGAGGAGTGGAGAATGAGAGTGGGTTTCGATAGCACTTATAGACTTGAATATTTGTTCTTAAATACTGCGTATTGTTTTAACCACAGTAACCATAGTATTAATGCCATTTCATACATTTCTAGATTGATTGTAATAAAAAATTGAGATTATCATTAATCTCCTTTTCCTTTTATTAACATGTTTAATAGGGAATTGGCTGTATGAAGTAGAGGTTGATAAATGCCATAAGAGAGAAAGCTGTGGGAAAAGGCTGCCAGATTTCATCTTACTCTTATCTCCTGTACAGAGCTTGGCAGTGTCTCCTTTAAAACATAGCCACAATGACGATTCATATTTTGCCCTCTTTCTACTCTATGTCACTGTAGCTTCTCTGTTTCTTTGCTTTGCTTTTAGTGTTAGGAATGAGGGTTGCCATCATTGTGACTCAGGAATTTTTCTTCACATCTGGAATAATTGTGTTTCCTAGCTTCTCTTTTCCAAAACATGCTTGTTGTCCCCATATTGGCTTTTCTACTAAGGAAGTATCTGAAGGAAAAAGGGCATTCTTTCACTTCACTCAGAAAACATTTATCAAAGGCTTCCTATTTGCCAAATTCCACCAAACATTTTGGGGATATAAAGAGAAATAGACACAATTTCTTTCATATATTTATATTGTGGTAGGAAATCCATTTTTAAAATAATAAAATAAAATGAAAATAAAGTTGTAATAAAGATGTGTCCCCGATTCTCTAGGAGTGAAGATGTAGGGCTAACCTAATGGAGAAGTCAAGGAACGCACCTTACATGCATCAGTGTTTGATCTGAGCATAAGAAATGAGTAAAAATTATATATATCTGACAGGACACGAAAACTGTTTTCCCTACATAGAAGAGCTGGAAGGTGTAAAAGACCTTGACGATGCACATCACTGGGGTTAAAGGAGTGGTGGGCAATAAGACTGAAGGAGGTTGTGATGCAAAAGCAGAGCTTTTGATGAAGATCCAGTGTATGAATTTCTTCTACTGAATAATCAAATTTATGCCTTCTAAAGGAAAACATCAACACTGTAGAATATAAAGGTGATACCATCCAGGGGCAGAGGGTAGGTGTGAGCGGAGACTGGAAGTGATAATGGTGATAAAAAAATGAAAGGACAGTATCAGAACGAGAGAGCAAGTCAGAACACTGAAGACGTAGTTTGGAGATGCTAAAAAGTCCTTCACTGTTGATTGAGTTGAGGAAATTTCATGACTTTTAGTTTCAGAAATAAGGATAACAATGAAATTATTTTATGGCAGGTTATTTATCTTATTTGAATGTTATCTGCATGCTCATTTTTCAAGTCTATTCAGCTTGAAGAAAAGCTTTAAAAACGAAACTATGTAATTACCCTTTCCTCTTTACCTGAAGGTAAAAATGAAAGTATAAACCAGAAACATGGCCAACTTCAAACCTTCTAGGTATACTTAGCTTCATGCTTTCAATTATTTGGAAAAAAGGGGAGTTCTTTTTTACAGCCTTTGAGATATAATTGGAACCCTGCAAACTTTCTAGGTAGCTTTTCCCACTTATTTCCATTGGGTAGCATCATTTCCTTCATTAAGCCATACGATATCCATCCATATTTATCCTATTTTTCTCATGCTATAAAAGATAATAGAGACAGCAGATTGAATACAGTGAAATTCCTAAGGATATTTATAAGTACTGTTGGGGTATAGAGGGCACATCCAACATGCTAAGTTAGACTGGATATCCAAGATGAATTTCCAGAAAATGTTAGGTTTGAGCTCAATTTTGAAAGGTAAAAATAGCAAGCTGCTAAATGGAGAAGAGTGTTTTATTCAGAGAGAACAGCATACGTTAAGAAAATAGAAGTCTACATGAGGATGAAGGGTTAAGAACCTACAAGTAGCTTTGTATGGTTGGAGTCAGGACAAGGAAAGGTAGTAAGGCCATAGAAAGAGAGTCTAGACAGAACATCAAGAGCCTATTGTGTAAGGCAAAGAATTTTGTACTTATACTAAAAGCAGGATTATGCTTATATTTTATTAGTAACAATGGGGAAGACAGAGGAATTCAGAAACAATTAGACCTGTTAGGAGACTGTTACAGTGCTCACAGAGGGCCTAGTTGCCTGGAATATCTAAAAAGGCTAGGAAACTGAGTGTAACTACACATAATAGACTGTAAACCATGTGATACCACCACATGTGTTTGTAAGGAGATGTGGTAGGGAGAACAGATAGGAAACTAAATGTGAAGAAATCTAGGATTTGCCACAGGTATCTAGCATGCATGGTAGAGTACCTAATAGTGTATTCATGGAGGTGGGAATTATGAAAATACGAAAAAATTCGGGGAGGAAAATGTGTTCCATTTTGAACACATCTTTGATGTGCCTATACGATAGCCAAGTAAAACTGTGTAGAAGAAAGTTGAATACACAAAAGACCTCCTGAGAGATGTCTGGATAGGACATGATTGTCACAGTTTTCATTTTATAGGCAATAGCCTGAAGTAATTGGTTTTAATAAGGTGTCAGTCCATTTTGAGTTGCCATAACAAAATACCTAAGGCTGGGTACTTGCAAATAAAAGGTTTATTTTGGCTTATGGTTTCAGAGGTACGAGATCATGGAGCTGGCATTGACTTCCAGTTAGGGTTTCATGGCAGATAGTGACAAAGAGGGCTCACATGGTAAGAGAAGAAGCAAGAGAACAAAGAAGAATCAGGCCTGCTCTTTTATAATAGCCTGCACTACTGGAAGAATCCACTGACCTAACCCATTCAGTGAGACCAGCATTAATCTCTTCACAAGGGTTATGCTCCAGTGACCTAATCACCTTCTACAAGGCCCCACTTCCTTTCAATTCTGTTACATTAGAGACCAAGATTCTAGTGCATGAATCTTTGGGGGGAACAAATCATATCTAAACCATAGCATAAGGCAATATGGATAAATATGGAGTGAGACACCAGAAATCCAGTGGCACATCAGGAGGGGAAAACAAAAGCCATGAAGATGAGATGAGAAAGGGCAAAGTAGGACTGTGAGAAGAGTGATTTAATAGAAACCAAAGCAAGTATCAGTACAACCAAGTGCTATCAAGAAAAATAACTCAGAATAAGTGGAAAGTTTTTGTTTTTTTGTTGTTTGTTTTTTCTGGTACCAGGGATCGAACTCAGGTCCTTGCCTTTGTGGGGCAGGCAGCGGAACCACTGAGCTAAATCCCCGGCCCTGAAAAGTTTTTGTTTTTTTAATATATGTTGATCAACATGGAGAAAATTTGTGACAACATAGAAGACAACTGCTCTGTGCCTACCTGATTTCCTTAACCCAATCTAGATCCTTCTGTTTCTTCCTGGAGTTTCAATTTTTAGTGGATTGTTTGTTAAGAAAACAAAGCTATGGGGCCAGGGACTTAGCTCAGTGGCACCTTGCCTGCCTGGCAAGCACAAGGTCCTGAGTTCGATCCCCGGTAACAAAAAAAAAAAAGGAAACAAAGCTATGTTGGGAATACGCTTATGGTTCTTATCTTTATTGTTTATCATTGTGAGGAAATAATGCAAGTAGTATATTTTCACCCTAGTTATAACTTCAAATAAAGTCAAAGATGATGTTTGGTTATAAAGTATGATCAAAGAAGTGAAGTTAGCACATTTGAATATTTTAAACCTAGATAAATATCTTATGTGATTAATGCAATTGAGATAATAGGTATCTTGAGAATTTATTTCATGTTTTAATATATGAAACATTTTGTTGAGTTGCACCCAAATTCATGAAAGCAAAAACTTCAGATTACATAATTGAGGGGGAAATGCAATGGCAGACTTTACAAATATTTCAAGCTGGATTATAAGATATTGGTGCTCAAAACAAATTGATGAAGAATAGTATTTCAGAGTGATTAAGAGCTCAGACTGAGGAGCCGTACTTCTTAGTGTTAACATTCCCTGCTAACTAGATGTAACATTGAGTAAATTACTTAAAATCACTGGGTCTTTTGTTTCCCCATCTATAAAATGAAGATAGTAATAGTACTTGTTTCATCAGGTTGAAAGGAGTAAATGAATTATTAAACGCAAGCCTTGAAATAGCACTTAGCACCTGCTATATGTCAGTTACTGTGAATATTGTAGAGGAAAAAATCTGTTTTTGATTTAAATGGCTGTAAAATAGAATCTAGCCCAGAGCTGTGCCGAAGTCATTGTTTTCAGTTCACAGCAGCTTCATTGAACTTGGGGCAAATCATCTGAATTGAGGTGAATGTGGTGGGGGACAGTTCCCACACTCTGGTTTCATTTTGAGTGTTAAGTATGTGCAAATAAGAAAATTCAGGGTGAGATTTAGAGGAGAGCTACCAAGTGTAAGACTACTCATTTCAGAACTAATTAGCATATTCAATTTTGGGGGCAAACCCTGCTAACCAGTTTTCTTAAAAGCCAAATTTGCAATGACAAATTTTTTTTTGCCAAATGTTTTCTTTTTTGGATCTAGGTCAGTAATATATTTTCATCTTTGGCTCACATATGGATTACTTTATAGTTTTATAGTTATTTTTAATAATATAGTAAGTAGTATGAATCTGCTACCCAAAACAAAAGATTTTTGTCCCTAATCTGTATGTCATTACCTGATTCCCCACAACATCACTACTGCCATTCTTTTTCTCCAGTTGCCTTTATCTGAATACTATAGTCATCCTTGAATTCTCTTTTAATTGAGTCATTTCATTTTCTTTTAAATAATTTTTTAGTTGCTAAAAGATTACATAATGTCTTGGGATCTATCTTTTCCATTGGATAATGTGAATAATATCAGCAAAAAAAATGACGCATTTCTTTGGTACTGAATCTCATCTTGGAATACATATTTTTTCCGAAGTAACATCCAGTTTTTGGAAAATTCTTTTTCTGTGCTTAGCCAGAGGTTCTTTCTCTTTTGAACCCCTGGTTTCATACATGCTAGTCAAGTACTCTACCCCTGGGTCTCTTACTAGATATAAAGATTAACTAGATATAAAGATTTTTCTGACCTACCCACTAGATTACTCAAAACAGACTGTTAATTTCTTTAAGCATGTCCAAATTAGGAAAACAGCTTTGATGCTATTTTTTATCTTTTCAAAATCAGCAACCTATTGGTTATTAAATAGGTCACCTGAATTGTGTACTCGGTTTTCTCCACTTTCGTCTTTGCTCTCTTGCTCCTAGAGATGGTCACCTGATCCCCTCACAAATGAGAATGCCTTATGTTTCACACAGTGGGACTGTCTCATAACAATGAAAGGATTGAAGTAAATCATTTTAAAACACATGCTGACCAAGTAGTGAGAGCCTAAGATAGGGAAATCTTTTCTATGAACACTGCTTCCAGTCAATTGATCTGATCTGTCTGAGATACAGCCTATTTTTATTTAAACATCCTTTGAACAGTATTTCTACTTAAAACAGCTTTTATAAGTTCCTTGTCTATACTATAGGTCAATATGTAGTGTTAATATCTAAGGACTAACATATTAGCCCATAGAAACATAGACAAATGGGATAGACAGCAACATTGGAGAGTTTAATGTCAGATGATTTAGGGCAGTAGTTTAGTCAGCCAGTGTGCCAGTTTGAAGAAGGATTCTTTTATCCTCCTGAAGAGCTCTTTTTAAAATAAATTACTATCATAAAGCTGCCACAGTTTACTATGCATAGACATGTTCAGAATTGGATCTCCCTTATGAAGCTTGCTCTGTGCAGGTATTTAAGCTGTTGCCAATAAGGCTAACAGTTCATCAAACAGGAAATCTGCTGTAGGAAAATACATAGGGAGGAAAATGTTGAAATACTGTGCTGTTATTCTGAGTTATTCTGAGTGTCTGGTCAAGTTTTTCTCTAACAAGTGATTGTTACAAAAATAAGTTAGAAAAATAACCAGTGATTGTTATAATAGATTGTTTTAGAAAAATAAACTCCAAAACCCTTGCAAATAGTGCAGTCTTAAAGTATCATTGATTTTGATCAATATTAAAAACACAGAGGGATAAGATGAGAAGCCAGATGAACATGTTTGACACCGATAGTGGCAACAGTTTGTCATTGATCCTAGACAGACTCAAAACCAAATCCCCCGAGTGTATGTGTATGTGTGTGTGTGTGTGTGTGTGTGTGTGTATGTGTAAAATTAAAGGGTATTTTTTCACAGTAGAAGTTATTCTTGCTTCTTGCTTTTATTCAAGCTAACTGGCTTGTGTTTTTAATAGCACATACTGAGATGGGCAGAGCTATCTCTATCTTTCAAAATGTTGAAGAAATTATCAGAATGCCTTTTTATATGGTTTTACATAGTACCTCCTATGGAAGATTGTAAGGAACAAGAGCCTATTATGGACAACAATATTTCTCTGGTGCCTTTTGAGAGACCTGCTGTCATAGAGAAGCTAACAGGGAATATGGGAAAACGTAAAAGCTCCACTCCACAAAAGTTTGTGGGTAAGCAGCAAAAATGCCTTTGTTTCTTTACAAAGTGATTTTAATTGGAAAAATGCAAGTTCTTATGTATTAGAAATATATGTATGGTGTATTTCAGATAATGTAAAAATGTTCACCTCTTCTGCTCTGACGTTCTTGTGTATCACACTTAAGCACACACCCTTGGGCATGAGCACAAGAAAGAAATAAAGGGAAGGCTAATAGTAGTAAGTCATCATCTCAAAATGTAATGATGTTTAGTAAAAATTTTACTTAAAATAATTATACATAATAAAGGGAATTGTCTAGCTGAGTAGTGCTAAACCTTTTAGAGCTTTCAGTAACAAGCAGCCCACTGCAACATGCAAGCCATAGGTTCGCCACCACTGGTCTAGCCTATTGGCTATTTTGTAATACGTTTTTATATTTGCATTAGCACCAGACTTTTTACTGTTTTCTCTACATGATATTAATTCTTCTAGTATTTGATTTAGCATTACGTTTTAATTTTTCCCAAATTCTGCATTAAAAACATTCAAGAGGTTTCATGTATAGATCAATATTTTCTATTTTCAGCTTTGTATTCCAAGCTATGATAACAGAAAAGATTAAATATCAAATATTTAGACTTTTTCATTTCCAAAGTCTTCAGTATTTCTTTGTACACCCAGGGTTGATATTCTCCTCAATGCATTCTCAGTCATAAAGTATCAGTCATAAAGTATAAAAGTCATCCAGTTTTTAAAAGAATATAGGAATAGTACAAATTTAATAGAAAGACTTGTTAAAGTTACTGTTATTCACTGTATATGTGATATATCTATTCTTGTAGACAATACAGTATAAAAATAAATGACAAAAACATTATCTAATGTCAGAGAGAGCATTGTAGGACATCCTGATTTATTCATTGAAAGAATACTAACTAGTACCTAACTCTTGAGGGTCATAGTTTATGCTAGGGCAGTTCAAGACCCTGAGATTATGTTCAGAAGTCTGCCTTGGTAACTTTTATTACTGTTTCTCTTTCTTCCTTTGTTTTTTGGTTTTTGTAGGTATCTATGCAAAAGAGGGGGGAAGCCAGTTCATTTATTTTTAAAATTGATTAGTTTGTTGAAGGTAACTAAATGCTTATATTTAATTAGGTAATAGAATAGTTTGAAAAATGGGAAATTTTAATTTTTGTGCTTTCTGAATTTATATAGTATGTTCTTTGAAACATTTTTGTCATGTTTCCTCTACCTTAGAGAAGTTATTCTCAGTTTGATTTGATTGCATCCCTACAAAAGACAGCTTTTTAGAAAATTACAGTATGGCTCTAAAATAACGTGACCTTTTATTAAGAATCTGAGCATGTTTTATTTAGATTCTATCCTAGTAATATATAGCAAATAATAGCTACAGTAACTATTTCTGATTCCTCTTGAAATAAAAATTTTTATCACTCCACACTTCACATCAGTTCCTTTTCACTGTGTCCCTCGGTTAAATAACTGTTCTTTGGCTTTACCAAGCACTCCAGACCAGTGATCTCTGAACTTCATCCATATCTACTTGTCTGTCCCTCCCTTCTTTGTCCAGCATAAATTTCATGGCTCAGCTCATCACTTTTACCACTGTTTTGCTGACGTTCTTAACTCACTTGCCTTGTTTTCCTATCACTTTCTCTTGGTGAAACCTTACTCTCTCATGGATCTAACTACACATTTTGGGGGTATTTACATCTCAGCAACTCGCACTTTTGGAAAAAATTCTACAGTGTCATGAATTGGTATCAATATAGATAAATGAGTAACTCATTTCAAGTATCAGCTGGCCCATCTATACTATGTGACAGAATTCCTCTCGTATATCCCTGAACAATCTTCTCCCCTGCTCTGCAGTCATGGCCATTTTCAGCCTTTCTCTGCTTTCTGAAAACTTGATATCTCACACCCTGATGATTTTATACCTATATTTATCAGGAAGAAAATACGTTGAAATGATTTGTTTAATATCATCATCTCTATAAAATTATGTGCATCTACATAGTACTTTTTACTCCCTCATTTCAATGAAAGTAGTATACTCCTTTCTGATTAAGGTCATTTCTTTCTCTTGTGCTCCAGAATTCTGTCATGGTCCCCGAATATCTCACACTTGTTTTTCCTCACCCTCATTGCCTAACAGCATTAATGTGACAAAGTTTCATGATTGGAAAAAAAAAAAACACTTTCCTCCAAACCAAGTGTCTTTCAGCTACAACTTTCTTCTTCTCTTTACTGTTGAAGTTGTTTAATTTTCTGTACTTACTTTCAGTGATCTTTTTTTCTTTCTGTTCATTTCCTAGGCCATGCAACCTGGCATTGTTCTCCATCCTACACCAAAAGTATTCTCATGGATGCCACGACTTGCTTCTGTAGTGCCAAATCCAGTGGGCCCTCTTTAGACTGTATCTTACTCAACTCCTGTAGAGCATTTGCCACTACTGGATAGTGAGTTCCTTCTGAAACACACTCTTTCCTTGGTTCCTGTGACATTGAACTTCTCCTTTTCCTTCAGCTTCTTTGCCTGTTCCTTCTCTTTCTTCTTTATGGACCTACCCTTTTCAGCTATGTAGATGACCCCTATTCAGATGCCTAAATATTTTATTATTAATCAAGCCGAAAAATGTATGTTCTACCCACCTAACTTTGAAGACTAAGTTCAAATAAATACAGAATTCTCAGATTCCTTGGTGCTCCCCACCGGACCTTGGCCACATGAACAGAATCAATCCTGGCACCGTCCTAGACCCAGTTATATATTTCTGCTCATTACTAAAAAAGTGCCTCAGACACGTGTGAACACTCATGCCTGAACACCCAGGTTCTTTTTACGTTGCATCCCACACAGCGCATAAAGAAGAGTGCTATGGAAACACACACTCCTCCATGAAGAGGACTGTAGAAACACAGGAAGCGTACTCAGAACTATTTGATAAAAGAATTCTGGGATCTGACTACCCAGACTGTGATCTGTGCAATGTGCCATTAGACACATTCCTTTGGCCTTGCACACTCCTTAGTCCATGAGATACAAGGCCTATGACCTTCTAAACATGATGCCAAGTGTAAAAATCCCATTTGGCTGCTTTGTCTTTGGTTTAGCATAAAAAATGTTTTCCAGTTCTATTTTGACCCTTCTTTTACACAGTTTACCTACTTCTGAGTGATAGCATCCACTCCCATGCTTCAGAAGTTGCCTTATATCAACTGATGACTCTCATATCTACATCTGAAACCCAGATCTCTCTCCTAAGTTTGATACTATATCTAAGTGCTTTCTGGACATGACTGTTACTCATAGTGCTCTCCAAACTGAATTTATCATCTCTTCTATCTCACTGTCATCCACTAAGTTTCCCAGGCCAGAAAACTGGGCTTCATGCTCGTTTCTCATTCTCATTGTCTATTACTAGGTAAGAATCAAGCCTTAACCACTGTATTTTCTAAATTTTTCTCTATTCTAATGACTGTTCTCCATTTCTCCTGACCAATTCAGGTTACCATGAATGGTACGGCAACTTCCTAAATCTTGTTAAATGCATATCTAATCAGGCCACTTCTCTGTTTAACCGCTTTAATTCCTATTGCTCTCAGGATAGAATTCAATTCCTTTTGCAGTTGAATGAGCCATATGTTATCTGATTCATCAGTTTCCTCTGTGTCCATTCTCAGCCATGTTGAAATATAAGCAACTTATTTACAAGCCATGCCCTTTTGCCTCTGAGCCTTCCTGCCTGTAGTTCCACCTCCACATCTCTTTATTTGGCAGTGTTTACCATCACATTCTAATTCTTTTTTTTTGGTCCGGAGAACAAACTCAGGACCTTGTGCTTTCAAGGCAGGCAGTGGAAACACTGAGCTAAATCCCCGGCCCCATGTTCTTATTTTTGATGCCACTTCCTTCAAGGAGTCTTCCTTTACTTGCCTAGTTTGAGATAAGCATTCCTATTTGACCCCATAACCCCCAGCAGGCTATATTACAAATGATCTTTAAATTGCTGCAGTTCCCCCTAAACTGTAAGGTCTTTGAGAATATGGATCAGATTTCTCTATCTTAACTTTGAAACTCTTGAATGGCAATATTTTAATCAGATGCCATGAAATAATTTCTCATTATTTTTATTTTCAATTATTTATTATTCCAGTCATTACCCTAATCTGTCTTTGGAGCAGTTCGAATTGAAATAATACCAAGTACCAGCAACATATTTTTCCAGAGTATAGTTTTGTGGATCCCCATTTCCTATTAACCAGTTAGGCTTGCAACCACAACAACGTATCAGGGAGTGTCTATGAGTCTCAGCAAAATTATAGAGCTCAAATACTTGACCTGAAGAATATGATATATACCACATAATATGGAACAATGGAAATGGTGTTAACTTTCTACCTTTTTATATTTTTAATCAAATCATAATTTTGTTGTAATTTCTTTCCTTTTTATTTTCTTGCCCTCTTTCTTTCAGGGGAAAAGCTCATGAGATTCAGCTACCCAGATATTCACTTTGATATGAACTTAACGTATGAGAAGGAGGCTGAGCTGATGCAGTCTCATATGATGGACCAAGCCATCAACAATGCAATCACCTACCTTGGAGCTGAGGCCCTTCACCCTCTGATGCAGCACCCGCCAAGCACAATCGCTGAGGTGGCCCCAGTCATAAGCTCAGCTTATTCTCAGGTCTATCATCCAAATAGGATAGAGAGACCCATCAGCAGGGAAACCTCTGATAGTCATGAAAACAACGTGGATGGCCCCATCTCTCTCATCAGACCAAAGAGTCGACCCCAGGAAAGAGAAGCCTCTCCCAGCAATAGCTGCCTGGATTCTACTGACTCAGAAAGCAGCCATGATGACCACCAGTCCTACCAAGGAAACCCTGCCTTAAATCTCAAGAGGAAACAAAGCCCAGCTTACATGAAGGAGGATGTCAAGGCCTTGGAGACCACCAAGGCTCCCAAGGGCTCTCTGAAAGACATCTATAAAGTTTTCAATGGAGAAGGAGAACAGATAAGGGCCTTCAAGTGTGAGCACTGCCGAGTCCTTTTCCTAGACCATGTCATGTACACCATTCACATGGGTTGCCATGGCTACCGGGACCCACTGGAATGCAACATCTGTGGCTATAGAAGCCAGGACCGTTACGAGTTTTCATCACACATTGTTCGAGGGGAGCACACATTCCACTAGGCCTTTTCATTCCAAAGGGGACCCCTATGAAGTAAAGAACTGCACATGAAGAAATACTGCACTTACAACCCCACCTTCCCTCAGATGTTGGCATACCTTTTTTTTTTTAATATTATTACTGTCAATTCTTATTTTGTGAACACAGTGTCATTTGCTCTACCTAATTACAATAAGGAAGAAACAGAAGCAGAAGAAGGGATGGGGATATTGTTTCCTGGTAACTTGGCTGGTTTATTTTGTGGGAATTTAAAACAGTTTATTTCTACCACACACAGATATAAAGCATATCATGCTTTGCAAAATCACTTGATTCATATAGATTCACCTAAAATATTCTAATTTGCCTCTGAAGTTCAGGATCATGATTGAAGGCAGAAAGGTTTAGTTTTTTCTGAGTAGGACTTTGCAATTTAAAATGGTATAAGTAATTTCACTCTTCAGAGAAGAAATTGCTCAAAATGTAAACCAATTTATTGTTCTTAAAGGTCATGGAACACAAAACACAATGTTATTTTCAGTGATAACTCCTAGGAAGAGTTGAGTTGTGGGTTCTATGTTTACTTCCCCTATGGAATTTATAATTCAGTATATTTTACACTGTACCATATAGCAAAACTTTTAAACTACAGGAAGTTAAGGACCACTACAATACATCTGAGGTCCTTGGATCTTATTTTTCTAAACGTAAGCACTGTTTTTCCATAGTTTTGATGACTGGCATTTTATAGACACCCTGGCAGCCTTACTTTTAACACCTTTAACAAATAGTATTTTTATGTAGTTTTCAAAATAACATATGGTCTAAGAGTGGATAACAGGCAGTCAGTAATTTCCAGAAGGGACTTCTACTTTTCATAAATTTGGGATTTTTTTTTATAATGTGATGGCAGCATAGTACACATATTTGTTTCTAAAAGTATGCTTATAATTGTCACTTTATCAGCATTTAATCAGTGTTAACCAGTCAGCAAAAAAATATAATTAGGTTAACAGTAGGGGGAAAACTCCACTTAGAAATCCCTTTTCTGGTATTTCTCTTTTCATTGGTTGTTTCAAGCTGTGACCACTCAGTGTTCTGTCCATAGTCCATTCCTCTTTTACTCTTGGAGTAGAAGGTCTTAAAGGTCTTTCTAGAAGCTACTTCTTTCACAGTATCCTCAGAGCAATTGCTAATTTCACCTGAATGTGGTAACTTGAATCTTGTAAGATAATTGAACTAGGGCTATTTATTCTAGTATTTCTTGAGTAGTATTTACTACCTTTGCTGCAAAGAAAAGGGAACTTCATTGTAACCTGTACCATAGACTACAGATCAAAGAAAGAAACAACAAAGTTTGCTCTTACCTTCTTGCAGTCTAAAATGTGACAGTAAGCAAAGGTCCTGCACATTTTTGTTTCAAAAAACATTCGACTCTGTAGATCCTTCTGAGAAATGAATTTCAGTATCTTAGCATGGAATTTGCCATCTTTTAATTCAAACATGACATATGTTTTCATATTTCATGTGTACATTTTAATTCCCTTCATGTGGTTGCTCTATTCTTTGCAGTCCAGTAACATTACAGGGGAAGAACCAAGTGATATTGATTATCAAGTCATTTTGGGGGGACACACTTCTAAGGCAGAAACTTGCTGCTTGTGTTTTGAAAAAACAGACCTGGCCATGACTGGATTATTTGATTACCATTTGTGAATACTGAAATTCTATTAAGTAGTAATCAATAACTGCTCTAAAAATCATTAAGTAGGATCTAAAGCTGTTTCTAGAGTGTGACATGAGAAGTGTCAAGATTAGAACACCAGATAGATAAGCAAGTCTGGCCCCAGTACTGCTCTTAACTCATTTTGGTAGTTTACCTTTTGCTTATTTAAGCAATTTCTAAGCACTACCACGGTTAGAACTAGGTAACAATGGTTATGAATCAGGTTTCTCTTACTAGTCCCTATCATGATTATTTTTGGAGAAATGTTCAAACTGTTTCTTTACATCTTTACAAGATAACGCACCAAAACAGAGATGTGTAAAATGTCTACTGTTGGTTTTTTTCCTGCATGCCTTAGTACATTATACACTCAGTTTATTCAAAGAGAAAGCATCTGTTTGAGACTTGCTCACCCCTACCTACTTATTCTAACCCCTCCCAAATTATAATCGAAATGACATTTCTTCTTTCCTTTTGGATGAGGTAAATAATTTTAAGCTCATGATCTTGTGTTTATGGAAACATTTGGATGCCAATCAATATAGTCATAATTTTGGCCGTGTGTGAATGTGCATGAATCCACTGGGATCATCAATGACTTTTCTTCCCACTCCAGTATATGAACAAATGATCATGTGTCGACTGACCTGGAATGAAACTGAGTTTAGGTGGACCTAAAGAGCTGTGTAGTTCTCCTATGAAGACAGTACTCATGCACTCTCCTTTTCTGATTTCATCTTGTTGAGCAACTTAGTTTACCGAAGCGAGTTAATAGACTGTGAGAGTATATTTGCTACAAGTGTATACTTGTGTTTTCTTGGCTTCATGGTGTGAGGAACAGAAAGACATGATGGGGCAAGGTGTATCAGGGACAAATGAGGACAAGGTCAATTCACATTTGTAGGTTAGAATTTTTGTGGATATAGTGATTTCTGAGAAGCTGGATGGCTATATTTGCATGCTTCTTCACAAGAGGAAGTATGCAAGGTGGTAGCTCCTATAAATAAGTATGAGGGTCAGGCACCAAATAAATCAAGTCTTACATAACAGTTGTATGCCCAGTTTATTTAGATGAGCTTTCACAGTGGAGAGAGTATTTGAGGGCCATAAAAATGGGTCATCCTCTGTAGTATCCAGTTTGGCAGAAATTCAGAAATTCATCACATAGCTTTGCCCTAATTTTGCCCAGTTTTTTATCTCCAGCTCTTTTTAGAGAAGTATGCTGCCTTTCTGTGATAATGAAGAATCCACCTTTAAAAAGCCATTCTAAATATGCATTTTTAAATAGTGAAAGTGTCCAGGCAGTACTCAGATTGGAAGCAAGAGATTTGAAGTGTGGAAACATTCCACCAAGAATTTTCAGGAGAGAAAAAAATGGGAGAATGAGAGCAGAGAGTTCAGATGTGGGACAAACGAGGAAGCGTATGTCCTGTGTACATACAGGAAGCTGTATGAGTCAGTGTGTGTGTACATGTGTAACACAAACTTTTAAAGAAAATTCACGAAAAAAAGCAAGTAGAGCTATCAAATGTGTTTCAGGAACAGAGATTTAAATTTATAGTTAATACCTAAGTAGTTAGGTTTACTTTACCACATTAAGAAATATTAGGGAAGTTACTAGTGTGTCGTTAAGACTGGTGGCAATTACTAAACTTCATTCTTGGCTCTTATCTATTTCCAGAACAAAATGAAACAATGACAATGAAAGATTTTAAGCCAGTGGATAAAAACTTAAAGAAATGCAAAATTCCTTTTTGAATAGGAAAGAAATAACAAAAAAAAATTCAGCAAACGTATTGGCAAAAAGAGAATATTTTCATGAGCTTTATTTATAGTTTTTGTATCTCAGCTGTACACCTCACAAGAGCATGAAGTCTTTATATTTTATAAATTTTTACCAAAATTTACCTTAGAGGAGGCATTCAGATGAAAATTATGTTTTAAATATTTTCCAAACCTTATTTTATTCTATCTCCAAAATGATTGATAGGGTAGAAAAAGAGCAGAAGAGGCTACAAAAATACAAACAAAACTTGCATCCCACTCAAGACAGAGCATAATTCTATAAGAGGTACCAGCTATGATATTTTTGATTGTTCATTTTTAAAAAGTGATTTTACATTTGTGGTTTTTCTGTTATAGTTTATATATTATTTAAATAAGTACTATTTGCATGATTATAGCAGAAAATTCTCCAGATCCAAAAGAAAAAGAGGGATGAAATTGAAGTTTGTATATACAAGTTATTTTAGAAATATTTTTATCCTCCAGTTTCTGCAAAATAATTAAAATATACAGTAACTGGACCCTTAAAATCTTGAATTTAATGTATTAAATCCTTATAAAAATGTGTTATATCGGTGCCTTTTTAAAATGCATTGAGAGTGTTGATTAGCTGTTTTAGCTCTACAACACTTTTATTGTGTATTTTTAAAAATCACTTCAAATTGAGTACTATATAACTCATCTTTGTGTTTTTAGGATAAAACTGCAAAAGCATTTTCTAATATAGAAACTTTCAGCTCAGCTGTTAAAGGAAATTTTGAAACCAGATTTTAATATCTCTTTGATAGTATTTCTGAATACCATTATAAGATTATGCAGGTAAAATACAAAGTAGAGCGAAATTTTAACTGTGAATTGGATTATGGTATGTGCTTTTGTTTTTAAGGAAGAGTGAGTCCTGTGTCACACAAGGATTTATTAGAATTTTTTGGATAATAATATACAGTATTGCTTTGGATTTCTATCCCCAGACTAGTGTTGTTCTAGTCTTGGAGCATCTATCTTCTAATCTGTTATTGTTTTATGGAACAATGTAAAAAAAAAAGCAGGTAATTAATTCTCCTTAAACAAAACTGAATAGTAACATCACATTGCTATTCTCCAAAGCATAATCTCAAATGGTTTTGTACCATGGCTGTGTATTACTTGTAATGGATGTGTTAGGATATGACACCTTTTTTAAAAAAATGAGCTGCTGGTTATATAAAGCAAATGTCATATGACCAAGAAGCTGTGATGTGCTAGTGTTTCTTTTTATCATAGTATATTCCTAGGCCAAATAATGACATCTTGAATATTTTTTACATTTATTGCAGAGACCTAAATTTTTGGAACTTCCCTAAGGTTTTTATGTAACATTCTGTTTCTAGCTTTTTAGTTTTGTTTTGCCGTACTGTAAGTTTGTGGATATTTTCACATGCACTCTTAGAAATAAGTTCACAGTTATATTTATGGGGTTTATCTCCCATAACATTGCGTTTGTACATTTTCTGTATAAATTTATTGTGAATTACCCTTTATCTCAGAATAGTACATCAATGACTAGTTTTCTAAGATGTCCTTTTTATTGTGAATAAAATATAAAATTTAGAGGCCCTGTGCTAAGTCACATAAAGTATAGCACATAACTTCACGTAGGTACAAATAAACCAGTTTGCAGTGAACCGGGCCTTCAGATTACCTCAAGTGACACAGTAAGAAACGCTTCTTGGGCAGGTGGAGGTTACCAAATCCCCTACTATGCACTTAGCAGGATTTCACTTAATTTACTGGAAATGGATTTTAAAAACAAAAACAAGTACACTGTAACAAGAGAAGGGATCTGATTTTGTTTTTGTCGTTTTGTTTTTTTTTTAAGTAGCTTCATTTCTGAAACTGTGATTTAAAAAATTTAACTGTCAAGCACTCTTGGATTTTGAACACAAATCGCTTGCCCTTAAGTGTAACCCCTTTCTGTAATCTCCCCATCACCTTTTCTTTCCTTTCTGTTCATCTCCCTTCCATCATCATATTTGAAAGTCTTTACCTCTCTTTCCTCCTTCCAGTTTGAGGATTAAGTAAGGCCAGTTCTTACTTCCAATTCATTGATCTCTTAAGTCTTAATTTTTGTTGCTGTATAATCTGCTGGCATATTTTTATACTCAAGTGTAGTTTTATATTAAAGAGAAAAGTGGTTGGACTGAAAATAGTATGCTGTATAATCCTTGTGTAACTTTCACTTTCAAATATTGGGTACCTAAAACATGACTCCAGCGATTGTTATGTTTGCCTTCCTTTTTTTGTTGAATTTCACATTGTTTGGCTTTCCTCTGAAAATGTAAATCACGAGAGTCTAGACAGATTTTTGTAAGTATTTAGAAAGATGTTAAAAACGTAAAATGAAGAGTCTTAACTTTTTCCCAATTGGGAGAAAAGTGCTTTAACATTACTATAATAATATTCCAGGTTTGGAGGGGGTCCTGGGCCCTGTAATTGCTCTTAATATTTGGACTTTTTAGACCATGTGTTATTTGCAATCTCAGAATGATTGCTCCTGCTTTTTAGTTTAAAAAGATTTTTTTTTTTTTTTATAAAAGTGCAATACTCCCCTTGAAGTCTTAAAAACTATGGTTATTTTTTTTCTTCTTTTCCAGGCTAGTCTTTCTTCTGTTAGTGACAAAACACACACCACGCATGCACACACACACACACCTCTCTTAGAAATCATAGCCTGTTAAAGGACACAATAAGCAAAGAGAAAAACATTTCACAATCAAAAGATTAGAAAGTGTAGAAAACACTGATCTGATCTCATGATTTTTATTTAAGCTAATTTCCATTGAAATTAGTTATCTTTTGCCTCTGAAATGTATCTTAAAGGTGAAATTCTGGCAGACTACATTTTCTTCTTAGACTTTTGCCTAATGCTCTAAGTTAAGAAACTAATATTTGATATTTTTATTTCATTTCTCTCAGTTTGGAAATGAATTTTAAAGTAAAAGCAAAGCACTTCAGTCAATTTTAAACATATTATCATCTATTGGAGATAAAAACTTTTAAATAGAGCAGCCTTGTTTTAATAACAAAATTAAGAAGTATTTTTCATATCATACATATTTATATGTAGTATGTTGGTTTTCTTTTTTATACCTATGTTGCTGTAGTAAAACTGCTGTAATGTAAATACATGTTTTGTTAAAAAAAAATAACATTTCTTTGGCATATCTGTGAAAGGCAGTTACTGCTTTGTACAGTATATGTCTTGGCCATTTAAAATATTTTTTCTTTAACAATACCAAAGGTGATTAGACTATTTTAAGGACTAATTGCTTGACAGTTTCTAGGATATTTTGAGTTTTAGAAGCAAAATGAAAAAAGGTCAAACCAATAAACCTCATTTTTTTCAAACTAATAATTTGAGGAGATAAAAACTATTGTTTAAAAAGGAAAAAATATATATAAATGTATGTAAAATTAAAATTCCAGACCTTGTATGTCAGGTTTGCTCAGTGTAATGTAGTTTTTTTTAAGGCTCAAATACCATACCTCAGAAAATGGGGTTTACTACGGAAATACTGAAACAGTCTTTGCAGGTTGGTGACAAGTCACTCTGCTATATACTGATTTGGAGACCTCTGCTAAACCATTTATAACTGCAGACTGAAATGTGGGACTTGTATTTTCTTTGTTTTTAATGCACACACATACATCCTCTGTGCATGTATGTGGGTACTGTGTATATGTGTATGCGTGTTGTACATGCATGTGTGAGTGTGTCTGTATGTGTGTACACAAAAGCTGCAGAAACTTTGTAATAACTTTGTGAAAAGGATTATATTATAAAGGTTTGTACTGTCTTGAGTGCACAGCTACTGGAATAAATTTAGGGAATCTCAGGAACAAGCATATAATTTGTCCAAGATTTATTTCTTCTCAGAAGTGTAAGTGCAGTTTTTAATTCTGTATATTATTTAATATTTTACCAATAAAATAAACTTCTGACAAAACAAAGTTTGCTATAAAACCTTTTCTGGTGAAAATTTTGTGTACAGCACACCTTCCAAATGTAGGAGACTGAACTGTGGACTAACTAGGCTTAAATTCTACTTGCCGTTGTGTATATGTCACACTTCCTGTCCCAGAGGTTGGATACATGTAGTCTCAGCAATTTTAATCTCAGTCATTTCTCAGTCTTCATCACTATAGAGGCCACCAGAACAGAGAATATAGGATTCCATGGCTTGCTAAGGATGACATCTCTGCTCATCAGAGGGTTTTCATATAATTTTTTTTTTAACCTTTAAACAATCTAAGAGGTGTGGATGTCAAAGGTTTAACTCCTTTTTATAGAAGAGGTGAGAACCAAGGAAATAGAAGTGTGGCTTGCTCTACAGTACACAGTGAATTATACAAGTGGTCCATGTAGTGGACAACAATTACATTAGAAACCAGCATTTCTTAGAAATCAAACCAAGATAAAATTAAGGATTTAAGTCACAAACATTCAATCACATAGGAGAAATGGGGGAAACAGACATGATAAAGTGATTCAGACATCTATAATTCCATATAAAAATGGATAAAAGTCGGGGGAGATCCAAACATATGATCAGCCTGAGAAAAGTAAATGTTAGTGTGACTTTTTCTTCCTATCATTCCTATTTCTTTATAATCCCAGATTATGTAAATTATAAGAATTGAATTTTAAATTTAGTGGCCTGGCCACTGTGTGAACACAAACCTCATTTTTCAAATTTTACAAATATAGTTTGTTTTGCCATGAGAGATATGTTCTATTATAGATATCTGCCAGGGATTTAGCTCAGTGGTTTCGCCGCCTGCAAGGACCTGAGTTCGATCTCCGGTAACAAATAAATAAATAAATATTATAGATATCTTCAGAACCAGAAATGCAAAAGGACACATATGATCCCAAACGTTTTATTTAGCTATCTGCTTATTTCCCATGCCAATTTAAAGTCTGCCACCACATTTAAGATAGCTATTAGTTTTTCTTTACTGATGCATATTTTCAGAATTTCATGGATATTTATCACAATCCCTAATAATTATCCTACATTTGAATGACACAAAGAATGGAAAATACTACAAATTCAATTGAAATTCTACTCTCTTGACTATACTGACCTAATTTTGGAAAAGGGATCAAAATGAAGAAAATAACAAAAAAAGAGGATGAATTTACCAAATTACTATAGTACTAAGTTTATGAAGCATCCCTATTTTTCTTCTGTTTGGCACAATACCTAATGGATGTATTGTCATGAACTACTGTAATGGACAAGTGGAGAAAATGATAGATTCAGACATCCCTAATTCCATATAAAAATGGGTAAAAGTAGGGGAGATTCAAAGATATGCTCATTCTCAGAAAAATAAACGTTAGCCTTTTCTCCCTATCATTCCTACTGCTTTATAATCCCAGATTATTATATGTCTCACATCAGACCAACAGCTTCTAACTTGAAATGTGTCAAGCAAGACAAGTCCCTCGCAACAATATAAACAGATACTGCCCATATTGGTGTTGAGTTGTTTGTTGCAGAAGCCATTAGAAGAGCTATATGAACCTCATCAGACTAATGGGAACGCCTGTGAAGAAGCAATGTTACAGGAAGGACCAAAGGGAAAAAGCAAGCAAAATAAAGGTGTTTGTGCGGAGCTCCACTGTGCCTTAGGTAAGCCTGTAACTAAAAAAGGAGGAGTCATCTTGTGTTATTTTAATAAAGCTGAGATCAGAATCAACTGGAGGTACCTGGAGTGCTTAGTAAAACCCCTTCATTTGGAAGTAGAAGAATTTAAGAAAGAGGGAATAGCCAGAGTTCAGATATCAGTGCTCTGGGCCAAGTGTTGGTTCTGGTTTGGTGTACATAAAAGTTGAAGACTGACCAAGGGTAAAACTTATAAGTGGTAGGGATGGGGTGACCAGGGCATTTAGCTGTTAGAGTGGTGAAAGTGGATACATGGAATATCCCAGTCCAAGAAATGAAGAGTCCGTCATCTTTTCTTTTTTCCTCTTTTCCACTTTTTCCTTTTTTCCCTGATTTTTCTCATTATATCATGTAATTCCTTTATATTTCCTTTCATCTCCTTTCTCTCCACCCTCCTCATCCTTGCTTCCCTGCACCAACCATTTTGCTTTCTCCTCCCTTCTCTACATCACCTGTTTTACTATTTGCTGCTATGTGATCTTGATTCTGTTTTAATTCTGCTTAAAACACAGTCTTTCAGTATGAGTAATTTAATGCAAGCAGAATGTGTGAATTTTCATCATGTCCTTTTTTACAATAATGTGTGCAATTACCAACTGACTTTATCTAATTCTCAAAATACTCATGGAAATTTTAGAATATCTTAATTTTATTGGCAAGTAAACATGTTCTAGTTGATTGTGATTTTTTTTCGCAAACACTCAAAATCAATGACAAAGCTAAGACTAGGCTCTAGTTTCAGATATACTTAGTCTGGCATTTATCTAAACCACTTTATTCAGCATTTGACTGATAAACCTCACTAATATTACACAAATATTACAATGTAATGGATATAAATATATCCATATTTGGATACAAATATTACAATGTAATGGATATAAGAAAATCCAGCAGACACACTTTAATGTTTTGCTCATTCTAATTTTCTTTTTCTTTTTTATTCTAATTTTCAAACAGAACGATCTTGAACTCACTGATAGAGTTGAGAAATACAGTAGTAATAAGTAGCAGGACAAAAAAAATCTGAAAATAAAATTTTGCTGCCAAAATTTTTGAAAATGAACAAATCATAAATTGATCTTCTAAATTCTAATTTTTATACTTACATAAGCATAGGATTTTGATTATTTATAAAATTTCCTTCACAGTGACAGAATTTTTTACTCTTATGTAAGTTACTCTATCCATATCCCCTGGCTCTTTTTCCTTAATTCTTTCATTGCAAAATGTAATTTCCAGTGCTTATACTTTGTTTTCTGACTTTTCGCCACTAAAAACCTTGAGATGACTCATCATCAGTATATGAATTTATGAGTACTGGAGTCTCTGATCATTATATCCAAGTGTTTTCAATGATATAATTGTCATTTTATGTCTTCCACATTTAATAAGCAAACTGCCATTGGGTTTATTCTTCAAAGGTTCTAAAACCTTTCTACAAATTTATCTCTTTACACTTAATTTTATAGCATAAAGCAAATACCAAGATTTGCCCCACCCCTAACTCATTGTGGAGTGATAGAATTACCAAAAAATTTGACCTTATGTTGTCTACCCTTAGGAATGAGATGTCTACTAGCACTTGAAATTTCTTGGCTTTCATCTGAAAATTTCTCCAGTCTTCAGGAATGGTTGCTGTAGCTACACTTACTGTCTTGTTCTTGTCTTCCACAATGTAAGTAATTTTTTTTTTTGCCTCTAAACAGTCTATTCTTTGTCCTTCTACCCCACCCCACCTCCCTTTCACTGTTTGTTTATTTATTTATATCAGATTGTACCTTGCATACCTATTACTATCAAAGCAGGGCAGGCTGGGGGGCAGGGGACAGACAACAAATGACTCAATTTTTTCCAGACTGTCAGCCAAATCATTTTTTACTCACCTAACAAATGATAGTTTGGCTATACCATAGCACTGATACATTTTCCAAGCTACAAGTGTAAGCCCAGTGCTTTCCTCTTTAATGTTTTGACAAGTCTGATTATAGCTAAGAAAGTGATCACTTAATCACATAACAAGCGTGAAAGAAATTCTGCTGTAGGCATTGGTAAAGAGAGCAGTTTATTTGCATAGAAGAATTTAAGTAGCTTTCCTGGATCTTTAAGATAGAAAGTAGAACACTGACTAATTCTCTTGAAATAAAAATGAACTCTATAGAAATATATCTATTAATGCTCCTTATCTTTAGCTGAAATTCTAACATTTGCACACAATATCATCAACAAACTATATTATACTAAAAAAAAAATAGCATCTATCTTTATTATAAAAATGTTTTGGGGGGTTTTTTTGGTACCAGGATCTAACTTGGGACCTTGCATTTGCAAGGCAGGTGGCAGAACCACTGAGTTAAATCCCCGGCCTGATATAAAAATATATTTTTGACTTTGTAAAAGTTAAACATTTTGAAAGACTATCATGATTAATATGATAGTCTCACCCTTCAGTAAATGCTTATTTGTGTTCATATTTTGGACTATTCAAAAATTATTTATCTTGGTTCATAGTCTTTATAGAAAACATTTGAGTTTAATATGATGTGCTGATTTAGAGGCTATATAGAAATTTACTAACGTATCAACATAGATTATCTTAATGACATGATTTCTTTTTTCTGTTTTTAAATGAGCAATTTGTCATATATTAGGATACCGTACATGCATGGATTAGTTATATTATGTCCTTGTATCTTACTCATAGAAAACATGGCAATAGCCCAGCTCAAAATAAAAGCACTCAACCACCAGAAATGAACAAAAGAATGAAAGATACATGTTTTTCTTTCTATGATCATGTGGTTCATATTAATATCAGGTCTTATCAGACACATTTCCATAGTGTATATAACCCAAGTACATTTATTAGTCACAACTAGAAGATTATAAGGAGCTTTTGGTAACACTAGTGTTTGTGGTAGTTTGACACATTCAAGCACCACACTCAGCGTTGGCAGTCCATTAGCTGCTACTGGACAATGAATGTCACTCACAATAATACACCAGCACAGGGTATATTTTAAATCTATAGACTCTCTAGTTTCTGTTTATCTGCTGTTTGTTCTTTGGAGGCTGGGCTATAAATAACCTTTGTATTTCTAAGAAGCAAAGCCTTTTTCTACTTTTCTTATTTTTAAGACTTGAGTTATAAAACAATGTACACATTTAAAAACCTACATTCAACCTCACTTTGATTTTCACCTAAATTTAAGATGAAAACAATAATATCCTTTAAAGAGGTGAACTTTTTGCTTTTTTTCTTCTGAACAAATTACTTAGTAAATAGTTTTAA